GCACATATGAAGTTAAGTAGCAATACCGATAAACCTAGTTGTGAATTTTACACTAATGGATTAACTAGTTCCCGCTCTTTGCACAGAGTGTCCCCTAGAATAAGTTTCTGGACTTACAGTATCCTGGGAATCTAATCCCCACACACTGGACAATAAAGCAATCAGCAGGAAGCACATTATATTTTCACAGCTAGACATTTTTAACAGCTAGACATAATTTGCAGTTAACACCTGTTATTTCCTATATAATCCGTTTGGCTTCTTTAGCTCTAATTGTAATCTTCCCAATTGCACAGGATCATTTCCCTCACCTCCTTTTTGTTACCTATCATAAGTTCCAATGCTGTTATAAAAATCCACCTGCACCTACACTGTACTGACAACCAACTGAAGGCAAATACAGTCTGCTCCACCTGCCTCTCCTCAAAATCCTAATCATCCTACAGCCTTCAAAGATTAATGACTTCAGACTGGGACATCCTACCCCAACAGTCATTCACTCATGACGTGACACATGCTGAGAACAACATTACTTACCATGGCACAAAGTTAAATGTCATTTTAATGGACTAGTGATAGTTAAAAATTATTTCTTTATTCTTTCATTTCCATGAACTCATTATAAGTGAAATGTCAGTACACAGACATGAAAGATAGGGCAGGAAAAGCACAAATTGTGCCTTGCAACTGCTTAACTACGGATCTGGGTGATGCACTATTTAAGGGAAGTTTTAACGCGCGAGTTCTCAATGACTGCCCTTCTGGAAATATAATTCATTGCAGTTCAACTGCTTTATCATCCAAAATGTTACTATTTTAACCAGATTCTGTAAGAAAAGGCCAGATGTTTTATCAGCAGTGAAAAAGAATAACTTTTTTGCATAGTCTGATGCTACCTGAAAAGGTTATTCCAGAACCGAGGTGCGAATGACAGCCAGCCAGTCTGTGCAGGTTTTGGGAGCGGACCGTAACTCTGCCTCACCAAGGTCTCCTTTCCTGCAGTGGTGCTTACACTTCTACTCTGCAGACTCCTGAAGGTGCAAAAGGGACAAGTCTGGGACACTCTCCATGCTTTATCTTTTGCTTTGATAATTTCATGTGAAACACCAGTAGTTCCATGGGCTCCAAGAGACAGCTCCAACAGTAACGTCAGTTCATTCAGCAACCTGTCCCAAGTGTGCCCATGACACCAAAAGCAAGAAAGGAAAGACCAGAACTTCTGCCAGAAATGCTGAACACAGTCAGCTGATCAGGTGTCCTTCTCCAGTTCTGGCACTCACAGACATTTAAATACATCACTGTGTTACTGAAAACATGCAAGCCTTTTAAAAGTTACTAACACAACTCTTGCCCAAGAGACCTTTATTTATCCACACATCTTTGGAATTTTATCAATACTTTGCAGCTTGCAGATCCAGATTTTGAATCCTTGCACTAAGTGTTCTAATGGATGTAAAAAAATTAGATGAGAGAGATTGTCAAAGAAAGCAAAACAGTTCCCATGATTCTCAACAAGATGTGGACATGAGCTGCAGGAACTCTGGATGGATCTTCGCAGGAGGAATATGTGAATAGGTAAAAGTGTCCATGCTCCTGTTTATTCAATTACAGAAACCACGGGATTCAGCACAGCATCTTGATATAAAATCCAAACTAATGTTAATTAGGCTTTTTGTGCCTTTTTTGCAGTGGCATTTTCTGCAGCGCATTTTCTATTGCTGTTAATACTGCATAAACGAATCACGTCTAAAAGAAGGAACAATCTCTAACATCCTGAAATTAAAAGGCTTTTAACTGTCTCCTGGATTGGATGTTATACATCTTCCTTAATGTTCCTGTCCTCTCCATCCTTTCCTGGGAAAGCAGGCACAGATTGTAAGCCAAATTAATCTGTAACACTGTTGTGATTTGGATTTAAGGCACAATAAAAACCATTACTAACTGTCCCAAATGAGTAACCTCTTCATGGTTATAAATCTTTCAGAGGTTTAGCAAGATGCAGTGATAATGCATTCCAGGATTAAGTAAGGTTCTCTATGCAAACAATATAAATTATGAATGACATCTGAATCTAGTTTGTTAATACTTGAAGAGGTGAAGATGACTTAGATTCATATAATAATGCCTTAGGCTGTTAGAGGAAAAAAAAGCCATGTTGTATTGCATATTTTGAAGCATAGAAAAGAAAGATGAAGTGATATTGCTAGAGGAGCAGAAAAGCATTGGAGCTTGGGAACAGCCTAAAAACGTCTTAGGGTTCTTTCTCAGTGCTATCCCACTCTGACATTTCCTGAATTATCTAAATATTTGTGTGAGTGTTACTTCTGAGATTCAGCATGTTCCAAAAAAACAATCCTAGAAACATAAATAGTCAGCAAAATGACAGGCATTTTGAAGGTGCACACTGACTGATGTACTCACCTACAAAAACCACAGTGCAGGAAAGTGTCTGTAAAAGAGAGTGGTAAACTGGATTTTTGTCTCTCATGTCTGGCTCCTGCTATGTAGTCGTTATCACAAGACATTTCAGATAAATATGAAGTAGAGCTTATCTACATAAATCAGTAAGGGCTTTAGGTAGAGAGACAGAGATCATGCACAACTTTTTGCAGTGTAGCTTGAAGTCTCCAGCTGTGTGCAGAACTGGGTTATGTAGGACAAGGAGACATTGCTGTTATTCTCCTCCCATGTCCCACTTCCCTTCTACTACTCCCTTGTTACTCCCTGTGCGTCACCTCCTCTTTGCACAAGGCCTAGATCTTCCCAACTGAATAACCAGAAATGCATGCACAAGTAGGTCGTGGGGAAGGGACTGGATCCACCTGAAGCCAAGAGATAGCAGTGGGAGAGAATTAAATTAACACATCTGGCCAACAGTGAGCAATATGAACCCCAGCTGTCTCCTGGCATGCTCTTCATTTCAGGCATGTCCCTCACCTGTGTCTGCTCTCACACTGACTACGATGTGGTTTCTGACAACTTTCCACTAAAAAGGTGTGAGGTATTTGGCAGGAGGAACTCAGAAATACTGTGTAAATCAGACTCTGCTCCTGCTCTGGGAGTTTTGATGGATCCCAGGAGCAATATGCTTGAATTCTAGAGATAAGTTTTCCAACCTTAGAGAACAATCAATGCAGAAGTACCGACAGCTACAGAATATGTCCCACCTACAAGAATAAAGCCATGCTAAGAGGAAGCTGGAAAAATGACAAACGAGATCTTCAAATTCATGGACAACGACCTCAGTACATCTAACTAGCCAAATTATAGCATTAAAGGTTGCTTCATAAGCAGCAAACTAATAAAGCAGCTTGTTTTTGACTCCTCGGTGTTGACTTCTTTTCCACCTGAAGCATATTAAAATTCTACTTAGATTGCCTTTGTTACCTCCCCTAAGCCTTTTAACTTGCATTCTTGCAACTTTGCTTATTCTTGTACTCTTTTTCAAATTTTGCTGAAATTTCTTAGAAAATGGAAAATAATTTACTAGTGATGGAGATGAGAGACACAGGCAAACATAGGTCAAATGATTACTTAAGCCTAGAATTTGAAATAAACATAGTTTAAAAGTTATAGTTTTTTGATACCTAGACTAAGTCTGTTCAAAGATTTGAAATAATATCATCAACCAAAATCAAGGTTACTTCTATGACTGCAGAAGACTAATAGCTTGGTGTTATAAGTAAATTTACGTGTAATAACAATAAAAATGCAATAATTTATTGAAAAAAGTGCTTAACTTTTCCCCTGTGTATAGGACTTTTCAGCAGAAAAAAACAACCAAACAATAAAACCAACTTTCAAAATTCTTTGTCCACATTTTCCTAAGCTACATCTGTATTCACATACAAAATTGTTGTGCTAGCCACGGCTGCAGCTTTGACTGTCATATACTATATTCATTGCTTTCTACCTGTGCTATATTCCTTGATTTTAATGGAACAGGAAACAAACCTTGAAAAATTATTATCTCCCATTATGCAAAGCAATGGGATACTGGGAACCCTCAAGTAACATAGGTCCTATGAAATGAGTTGAAGAACTTTGCAGAGATAGGGGTAAGTCAGATTTAATCAGCCCTTTCAATGACCAAGCCAGTGAAGAGTTTTTGCAAGCAATTCTCTACCATTTCTGGATTCAACATGGTACTGGTAAATCTGGGCTGGCTCCTTGCGAAAGAACTGAAATTGCTTCCAGAGGTAAAATGACTCTAGGAACAGTACAGCCAGGATGTACCTCGTACATTTATGATGTACCTTGTAAACCATGTCAGTTCTGCAGCTGCTCTGCACAGGGTCAAAACACCCTCTCTCACTCCATGATTAAATAACAGCACTAATATCCTGACCATTTGTAATCAAGAGCTACCTGTACATGAATTGCAAAAATATTTTATATCTACTCATTAAAATTACAGCAACCAAGAATACACCAGGATATTTAGTTGTGGATGTGCAGCAAGCAGGTGCTGATTTAGTTGGTGGTCTGGGGAGGCCCGTTAGCCTGAGGCAATGGCAGACATGCTCTTAATTCGGCCAGCATAGCATGGGCCTACCACTGCCCAACTCCCACATGTAGGCTGCCCATACTTGGCCTTGGTTTGACATCTTGTATCCCCAGAGCTATCACAGCCTGGCAGTGCAAACTTTAGGCAAGATCCAACAATAAATCTAACAACATCTGAAGACTAAGTGTCGTGTATCTTTTGCCAGTGAAATATGTGCACCATGAAATAGGGTAAAATCCACTTCCATCACCATCCAACTTCATGAAAGACAGTGAAAATGTCAATTAATTATATTTCCATGAAAAAGCTAATACCAATAGTGTTTTCAAATCTTGCAGGTGGCTCCATAGAAAGAACTCAACTTTCTTTTTTTTTTATTGTTTGCATTAGTAGTATCCCAGGCAGCACAACATAATGTATCTAGACACTTGTAGATGTACTAGTCAACTAGAGAGTGTCATTAAAGAAATGAAAGGAACTATACTATACTCACCAGGCTTTACAAGGCTTGTCTTTGTCTCCTTCTTATATCGAACCAGCTGTGGGTTCCCTTCACTCATTGACCCTGGACTGAATTTCTTCTTGGAGAAGTCTCCATCGCTGCCAGTGCAAAAACTGATTGGACTGATTCCAGCATCAGAAGGAGTCTTAACTGGAGATACTGACTGGCTACTAGGACAGCCAGTGTCATCTGAAAAGGGAAAACATCAACATTTCTAACTAATAAGTACACAAACGTTAGCAGAATTTAAATTAAAAAAAAAGGTTTGGACTACAACTGTTTACAGTCAGTTACCTGATATGCATAACCTTGGCTGTGAAACCTGGTGAAAAGCTATTAGTTTCTTCCATTTTGTGAGGAAGTCTTGAATACCTTGAGGCAGACTAAAATGGCAGATGCTTGTTTCACTAAATCTGACAAAATACAAAATGAGGGGCTACATAATGAAAACTCAAATCTAAGATAATTTCTTCTGTCTTAGCTAGGTTGGAGAATATTACAGCATGAAAAAATGCACATAGGTCACAAGAATGGCTTGTGTATTGCACATCAGATGAAAAGCAAGCATGGGCCACATGCTCTTCTTCAAGATATGTTCCTACCTGAAGAACAACAGAATGACTACAGCCCATATGCACAGTCAGGATTTTCATTTAACTGGAATTAATACAGGTTTCTCAAAATTGTTTTTCCTTTCAAATGTATCTGGTTTTCTGTAAGGGGTTTTTGGTTTTGTTTTTGGTAGTAGGGGAGTGCTATGGAGATAGCCCTGTAAGAAGGTACTAGAAAACTCCCCCAGCAAAGAAGGTGGAGATAAAGAAACCAGGAACAAAGCTGAGCCCAGGGAAGAAGGGAGGGGTGGGGGAACGTGTTTGATTTTAAGATCTGGTTGTATCTCTCACTGTTCTACTCTGACGTTATTAGTAACAAAATTGTTTTGCTTTGTTTTTTATCCCTATGATGAGTCTGTCTTTCGCCTGTGACCTTTTAAGTTGTGAGAAAAAAACCCCTCTCTGTCCTTGTTTTGTCTAGGCCCCTTCTGTGGGCTTCATGGTGCTCAGTTGCCCACTGGGCTTAAACCATGACATAAAGCATCCGTGATCACAGAGCTCTTCCGTTCTTGACAAGAGGCTGTGAAGTACCTAGTTTGGAGGAGGGTGCGTTACACACAGACTGCTTTTGTTTGAAGCCGAATTCATCTGAGGGCGCACCATCGTGCCAGGGCATCAGCAGTCATCCTGGGAACAGACCTGTGTTCCTGAGCTCCAGGAATACAAACACTCCAGCCCATAACAATTAAATGCAAAGTAAGAAGTCTGAGTCCAAGTGAAACATGCATATCAAACACCCCCTTCATTTTGTCACACACCTCCTGTACTCTTGAGTAATCACAGCTCCCCTAAAAGTCATGGTGGTTTTAGAGATACACAACAAAAACAAACAGGCTACTCTGACACCGGGAAGCCTTGAATATTTACTTTCCTGGAGAAATGTAATTGTTCTTTCCCAGAACAAAATGAAACCTGCCATCTTAATTATGCAATTTCACTCTGCTCCCAGTGTATTATCTTTACCTAACATGAAATTCAAAAGAAGTACCTGCAGCTGAGTCAAATAATTTGCATGACCATATTGCACTTACCATTTCTACCCTGTTCATAATTTAGGTCAAGCCTGATCTTGCAACGAGCTCTGCACGGGCAGACTGTTTACAAAGTCAGTATATGACTCTGTATTCATGAGGCAATAGGGCTCCCAGAACTATCTCCTTCCCTGCCCGCCTCCCCTCTGCAGATGAGAGCATCTTATGCTTTAACTATTGCTTCCTCTGTACAATAAACCAGCCTCATCCTTTCATGCGAAACAGTTTTCCCTCATGCTTGGCTCATTGCCCTACCCTCACCTAATTCTTCCAGTTTTCCGTTTCTCATTTCTCTGTGTCCTGCCTCCAACGCTGAGCAAGGTACCTAAAAGTGCTGACATCCAAAGTGCGCTGCACGCATTCGCATGTAGCAGCAGCCAGAGGTGTTGCTGCCCTGGCCTCTGCCAGACGCGGTGCCAAGCTATGGGGGCAGCCCTACTGCTGCCAGAATCACCTCCTAAGGCACAAAGGGCAGTAAGAGTGCAAGGCATCTAATCCATCTTAATCTCATTTGATGGCTTCAAACCAGCTCAATTAAGCCTACAAGCATCTCCTTTTGCCATCTTGCTGCTGCCTTCTGCAACTCAGAAGTAGTTCCCAGAAAAATAGCAGAAAAGAGACCACTAATAAAGTTTTCATCCTGTCCTCACATTCACTCTGACTAAACAGGACTCATGTGATTTTAGTTTACTTTTTATCGTTTCCATCAACATCACAATGTAACTCAACACAGAAAAGAGAGAAAGTGGCAATTTCCTCCCAGGTCAGCACCCATTTCCTTTTCTCCATCTTCTCTTCTGCACCTTGAATGGATGTTGCCCTACAGGGCAGTGGATCTGCAGGCTGGGTGAACTTCTGAATTGCATTTAAGCACCTTCTGTAGCTACGTCCAAAATGCTTTTTCATTACAAGCACACAAACGTTAATAAATATATTCAGAAAAACGTGGATGTCCATGCAGTTTTTTTTCTTATGACCTTTCCACTTAGCTGTTTCTCTGTGTGGCATTATTTTCAAAACCTTGTGGTTAAAAAAAAGAAAACCACAAAAAAAAACCAACAAAAAAATCCCAAGAAGCTATTTTCTTCACCTCTCCACCAATAAAATCACTGCAATAGCTGGACAGGTTATGCAGGCCTCACAGATGTGTTTTATCCAGGAGACTTAATGTACAAATAACTTCCAAAGCTATAGGGATGGTACCTGGAAGAACCTCAGGAGCTGATAAAAACCTTGAAAAAACAAAAGAACTAAACTACAGTGTTAAAATTAGGGCATTAAAAAACCAACTATGTAATGTAACTGTGACAAGGAAATAGAGTAGCTACAGAAAGCATACAAAAATAGCATAAAAATTAAATACTTTAATTACCCCACCATTACTTCTGATATCACACTGGTGACACTGTACAATCAGGCTATGTCATGTCTACATATCCTCATCTTACCCTTAAGGTCTTCAGCTTTCATTGCAACAGGGCACTTATTAAAGGAACAAATGCACCTGGCACAAAGAACAAAAGCTCTTCTCTACTTATACCCCCACCCCCACCCCCGTGACCTTTAGACACAACAATAACCAGGTGAGCATTTCTGCTCCAGCTGAAGTAAATGAATGATTTTATTGTACTTTCCTCTGATTGTTTGCTATTTTTATATAATACTTAACTTCTACTCCTTCTACCTAGTATTAACCAGAAATGTGAACAAAATTGTAAATTTCCCAAATCTAGGCCAAGCTGCAGAGAAATATTTTTCTGTGTCAGCTTTTTGCAGTGTGTTTTGAAGAATCAAAAAGTTTACTAGTACAGAAGGGAACAGCGGCAGACGAAACGCTGGTGCTCACCATCAAAGGCAAGCAAAGCTCTGCTGTACCCTCGGGGTACCTGCAGCTTACTTGCTCCAGCACAGGAAGTCCTGGTGGACACAGAGGTGCTATCCAGCTGGTCAGTGCAAGCCAAATTGGCTGCACTTACCTTCATTCTTCCCTGCTGCCAAAGCCTTAAAGGGTCATTTAATTGTATTTAATATTCCAGGTGAAACCCCTGCAGAAGAGCAGCAGACTCTCCCATGGTCTCTGACCATGCATCAAGCTAATGCCTCCTCCATCCCGCCGACAGCCCAACCATGCGCAGTGAGCACCTCTGCTGCTTGTCTGCAAGAGGAAGGATGCCACCGCGGCAGAGTGGGCTCAGTAATTCCCACAGACCTGTAGGCTCCTCCAAAAGCCCGCTGACAAGTCTGATGGAAGGAGGTGGAGACCTCCACCTGCCCAGGAATGGGCCAAGATAAGCAACCTATCTCCAAAGTAGGCAATGAGGTAACAAGAGCAGATGAGCTCACAGCAGGATTCACTTTCTGCTGCAGACATGATGTGAATGTAGTTTTCAGCAAGGTCCGTTAAGGATTCAGTCCTGTAAATCCACCAGAGTTTTGCCCAATAAGGATTTCAGGTCCAGATTTTTCAGGAATACAGATAGACATTATTTTCCTTCTCAGGCACATGAGCATCAGGAAGACAGAAGAGAGAAAGCTGGCAAATACTGCTGCGCACGTCCATATGTCTGATCTTGCCTACATCGTCTACTTGCACAAGAGGGAAAACCAAGTAAATCTGTAACACACAACTTTCATTGCTTTCTTAGCAATATTTGTGGTGTCTGTTTCCACAGTGGCCTCCTAAGAGCATTCTGGGAGTAAACTTTCCCTTTGAAAATCAGCTGTATTTCAGCAGTGAAACTCCACGTCCAACCCCTCTCCCAGATCAGACATGCCTGCCAAGTCTCAAAGTCAAGCACAGGATTGTGTCTCCTCAAACAAACAATCAGGGAAGCTGCTCGGAGCACTCTGACATTTGCATACGCTGACTGGCTTTCAAATAGTAAAGTCAAAGTATAAACAACAGTGTTAAAGATAACAATACTCCAACAACTGACAAGAATGTTGTTCTTGTAGACTTTAAGGCCATATGCTGTGACTTGATAATTTTCTCTCCTTTTCTGGACACAGAGATTTTTAGAAGTTTCACTGGAATATGCCTTCTGTAGAAAAATACTGCCTTTTCCTTAAGACTTCAAGAAATACTGAGTTTACAGCCTCCTTATATAATCCATCCAAATAATTAATGATGCTCTCACTGAGAAACTGACTTATTTTTATCTTCACTCCTAGCTGCCAGATCTAGTTATGCACTTTTACGAGCCTGAACAGTCCATCCCCTACCTGATCCCTCGTTGACTGTCCCACTTTAAGCTTCTCTTAATGTTGCCTTGACCAATGTTCAGGTTGTACATACTCTATTTCCATTAAGAAAAGTGGATTCCAGAATTAAACATGGGCCTCTAATGAACTTTAACAGTTCAGTGTACTGAGAGAAAAAACATTTCCTGACTTTTCCTAATGGTTCCCTTTCTGTTCTTCCCAGGATCTATTAGTCCGGGCAGCCGCAGCTCTTCCAGGATGGCATACCACGAGCTGGCTTTTGATGGTGAACCAAAGGTATTTCAGAATTTTTCAAGATAATCTCCCAATCTGCTCCACATTTTCT